CCCACTATATTCTCCGGATTATTGAGTGATTTTTATCATTTTACTGACCTGAAAAAGCACTTGCGTGGTATAAAATTCGACGGCGACGATGAGGTGATGTGTACTGTAGAGGCAAGTCGTTTATCAAGTCCCAGGATGAAGCCTTTTTTTCCAAGAGAATTAACCAACTTGCATAACGCTATACTATTTTGAAAAATTAAGCTTGAAAAATAAATATCTACAAATAATACAACCTAGTAGTTAGGTATGTAAAAATGTTGTTATATTTTATGAAATTTAAGTATAATTAATTTATGGTTGAAGTTTTTATAAAAAAATGTTCATTGGAGACTATATAAGTTTGATTTATCTTTTTTATAATGGTATCCAAAATATCGGGATTATCCGAATTTATCCGGATGGTGTTCTGGAAGTATTCGATATATCCGATCGATAATTACGCGGATAATTGCAGTCCTGCCCGCTTCTATTACAGTACTTTTGTTTTTTCCAGCGTGTCGTTTAAAAAATAAGGTATATATATTCATTATTATCAGTTTTTCGGTCAATTTATGAGTTACTTTTTAAGAAGGAAATTTTAAACCCGAAAGCGTCGTAAATAATACATAGCTCGCCTCATAGATTTGCTCATAAGGGGATATTTGCCATATTTGCTTAAGTAGTTAGGCACGCTTGACAGGCGGTTTTGCAAACGTAGTTTTTTTTTTAATTTTTCAGTTATTAGATAGACGCTGCTGCACATCTTCTGGTATGTTTTCTTCGGTCTCCTCTTACGACATTTTTTTATAGCATAGGGTGGCAAACGAGCACACAGTCCACCTGACAGTAAGTGGTTGCTGTGGCCCATAGACTTTATACTCGTTTGCGAATCAAATTGCAGATGCGTTGTCACCCGTGAGGACTAAGATGGAATGCCTCTTTTCCAGTAAAAAGGGTCTCCGGTTTTCTACACTCACCATACGAAACACAGCAGTGTTAAGCTGCTATTTTACGCTGGTATTCTGTGAGAGCGTGGTTCTTCCCCGGTCGAGCTGACCCACTATACTATATAACTATACTACTAATATAGCTGCAGAATGGCTCTACCACGTATAAAATCATCATAACATATTATAACATCCGCCTGACTACACGGAGATAATCTTGATAATGAAATTAAATTAGTTAAAGTATTTATTAATTTTTTTAAGCATTTAAAGCGGTTATTACAAATAAAACAGCAGTTCTACAATTTCTATAATTTCACTTTATTTTCATTTACAATCAATACATTCTCACGTGAAACATAAAATAAAGATAGGCCATACTTTGAATGGAATTATTGTTAGCTTGTGCGTTTTAGATGTCCTTGAAAATACCAATAGAAAGGGATTACATTACAGTATTAGTAATTAGGATGAGCCAAAATATACTTTCTGGTCATGTTAGTTAAGGTTAAATTTAGTATATGTAAATATCTTCTTAGCTTTATGCCACAGACACCTTTTAGCAACAATAATTTTTAAATATAATAATATATATTTGTTTAGTCACTCCACAAATTTTACATCGTGACTTACACTACTGAAATAAAAAGTACCATCAATTACATTGAGAGGTTAACGTCGGTAGTTGTACTAGTATAAACTGTGCCACGGCTGCTTTTTAATATTCTATTAAAATGGCCAGCATTGGTAAAAGAATGTTTAAATTCAAAGAATCACAATAATTACATTCAAAGTGGATCCTACCGGTAACTACAATAGATTTAAAATGTTATAAACGATGGGATATTATTACCATACAATGCCAAGTTTGTTTCCTCTAAAATGAACTGTTCACATGTGTATAAGACAATTCTTAGAATTTCTCGAATTGTTTTATTCAAGTATTGTTGTAATATTGTATCCGTCTTTAAAAATAAATGTATTTTATTGTATGTTTTATTATCTCTTCAAATTTTCAAGTCATTGCAGGTAATAAGATTTTTCAAATCATCAAAATATAAGTACAGTTTAAAAATAAAAATTATACACCTGAATTGGTATACCCTTCAAAATTTAAATTAAAAAAAAATCTTTGGTAATAAATAATAGCGTGTATAATAAAAGGACGTTTTTCTAAGTACATGATTAAAAAAATCGGAAGTAAGAATGCAGGACAATCACAAACCGCAACATTAAGTATTCATCAAACACTGAACGATTTAGCATAATATTTAACACTTAATACAATATTTTTTTGCGTAGTTTTTTTTCATTGTTTTTTTTTTCATTAGATCAGACCACTAACCAACATACGCGTTACATTATCTACATCTAAATACAATATGTAGCTACAATACATCATAAATAGTGTACACAATTTGTTTTCAGCAATAAAACAACAACAGTCATGTATTTGTAGGGCATTCCATTTATCGATGTTAAGCACACTGACTTATATTAAACTATGAGATTGTATAAGAAGTTTCTTTAGGCGTTTAGGCTTTGAAGCACCACTCCTAGTTTATATAGATAATATAAAAATGTTACCTTTTATGTTTTAATAGCAATAAACAATTGAATTAGACTTTTGAACATGCAATCAATTATGTATCGCGGAAAGGTAACTTTTCTAAATAGGTTTAAAATACCAAGTAACACATTTAATTACTACTTTCTCTATATGCCCTAATACACGACTGATATGACCCAACTATTCGGTTCGGATGTACTGACTTAGCATTAAACTTTTTTTTATTAAAATTTTGTACATCCGATTTCAATATAAATAAAATGAGAACATGATCAATGTAGTCGAAGTCAGTTAAATACGCATTATTAAGGATAACTTAAAGAACTACTGGTTAGATCTTGATCAAATTCATATGAGACCACATGAGAAGCACCAGCTTACAAATAAAAAAAAGAATCATCAAAATCTGTTCACCTAGAAAAGTTTAGAGGTAACACACATTAAAAAAAAACTAGTCGAATTGAGAACCTCCTCCTTTTTTGAAGTCGGTTAAAAATGTGGGCCCATTTATAAAGTGGAATGTAAGCACCCTCCATCCATTAAAATTTAAGAGAGAAAGACAGTATTAACAGAGGCCTTACCTTTGATTGAAGTTTTGATTAAAACTGATAACAAATCAATATTTTAATATGAACGTTACTTTTTCTGTTACTCCGTCGTTAATTCCCTAGAAAATAGGGCTGCTTCCTTATTTAAGGTGGTATAATCAGATGTGGAAATTGTTAAAATGTAAAACAGTACATCCGAGCGGTAAATTCAACTTTATTGCTAAGAATTCTTTTTACAAACAACAGTGCAAGCTATGGAAGTGACAACGCTTATTGGATTACAAAAATATCAATTTTTCATATATGCTTGTGATGTAACATTGTTTATTATATCTATTAATCGTAAATGTCGTTTGAAAATTATTTTGATTGGGCTATCATGCATCTTAAATATTTAGTAAAGGATTTAAATAAATCTCTATATAGATTATTTGTTTGCCCGTCATAATTTTGAAAAACATCGATGTTGTTATAAGAGCCTAATAACTACAAAGTTCCATTTCAATAATTACACTGGAGTAATAAGTATTTGTACTAAATTTTAGACCTTAGCAGATCACAATATAATTCATTGTGTTACACTTCCAGCAATATCATATTATAATGGAAGATTTCTGTTCACAAAAATAACATTTCTATAGGGAAATTTATAAATAAGTCATAATAATTTAACACCAGAATAATTATTGATATATGGACCAAAAGAAAACGAACATTTAGTATTAGTTTCTACGATAAAGATAGCAACACTACTAAAATATTTTAAAAAAATACTATTTTGGGTGTAAGCACTTATATTATATAACAAAGTATGTATATTTTAAATTTTATTATAATACTGAATGCGTCAGATCTCGTGTCATAAATAAGAGATACGCCACATAAAACAACTTTAAAATAAACTGCAGCGAGGCTATACACTTGGTATTGCCAGTCGATTAAAGAAAAAAATTATTGCACATTTTAAGTAATCTAACATCAATGAAAAACATCGATATGCAATTTTACAATTACCTAAACGTCTTTTTTATTAACCTAGATAATGACGATCTAAATAACGAGATTGGATAATAGATAATTATGACGATTTAAAATGACTAAACACAGCGTGATTTTTTAGGTTCAGTTACGATTAATGAACATTATATAATTAACACATTAATTATATTTGTGTTGTCTTTAAGATGACTATAGCTTAATAAGTGATTACCTTAAATTATAAAGCCAAATTTCAACATCATACCAGTTCAAAATCATACTGTATACAAGATATTGTAACTTTGTTATTTATTTACTTAGAATAACGAATTAATGTAAATTTTCATAATGGAAATGGCACGATGTAATAATTACGCGTATTAATAAATAAAACAAAAACAATGAAACGTCAAAATTAAAATATCACAATTTTTCAATCACTACAAGGAAAAATACATTTGGTAATTTTTAGATGAATCCATTATTTATTTATACATGGCTATAGGTAATATTGTCATATATATTTGTAATACCTACATGCAGGTACTGTGAAGCGATACACGATTATAGATTTTTTATTAATTATTTATATTAAAAAAAATTCTAATATTATAATCACTGAGAAGCAACGTTGGTTAATATTTTTCATATTTCCTTAACATTATATTATATTATACAAATAATCAATTCATAATCCTTGATTCAATAATAATAAAACTTAACGAAAATAATACTGAAGTTAATGACTTTTTTAATGGATACTGCTGATGAATAAATTTTTTATGAATTTCATGAAAATCAAACATTTAATGGCTTGTGATCTTTGTTACTATCTGCAATATTAATTAACATTCAAGGGTATTCTTAAATAAAATGGGCATTACTTGTCAAGTATCGAACGTTGAAGACAATGTTATAATTATGACTAATTCAGATATAAGCATAAGTGAAAATTAATAAATGCATACCCATTATACCTTAGTAGGTCGGAGCTGAGTAGTCGATGTTACCTGAAAAATTAAAATATTATTTATTATTTTTTATATATTTATATTTCCTCTATCAATATCAGTTTTGTCATGATATTTTATTAGAAAATAAAATAAGTCAACAGTATACCAGAGAGTAAACAAGTACAGACGCGTCAGAACCTAGAATGAATACCTTCGGTCTGGAAGATATTAAGTCCAGATGAGGACTTAAATCGAGTAGTAAAATGCCTCATCAGATATCTCTCTCTCTGTCTCACTTTTTCGGCTTTAGGTATATTTTATAGATGTTCAACAAGAAAATAGGTAAATATGTAGTCTTAGATCGACCATTTTGTATGAGTGTACTCTGCTAACGCTAACTGAGCTATTAAAAAAATACATTTGACATTGTAACCAGGCCTCTGTCACTCTTGCTACCTGCGTGAAATAATTATTTACAATTCGCGAGGCGCCCCGGGCTACATACGCAGTCGGGATGAGCGCGTTCTAGGCAATTAAAAAGTTTTTTAACGCTGTTTACGTAAACAGTTTTTTTGTAAATATACTTGTTTAGTGTTTAGTAGATTTAATTGTAGGATGAAATAGTTGAAAAAGTTTATGTATGTTTATGTAGTATATAAAAATATAGGTATATTACCTATCTATTTGATAAATTATAATGGAAAAACGACGTTCCTACTATAATTGTTGCGTGGATGGATGCTTAACGAACAAACAAAAGGATTCAGATATATCATTTTTCAAGTTACCGAAGGATAATGAAATGAACTTATTTTTTTTTTTCGTTATATAAGAACTAATTTAAATTAAGTAATAATTTAAGTACAGAGTACCTAAGTACTTTATTACAAAACTAAATTGAAATTTACTTCATTATCCAAGTACCTACTTACATACCTATACTTGTCTTTTGTAATTTAAATATTTTAAGTCGTAATAAAACAAAATATTGAAATTAAAACTTTGTTTACAAGTTTTTTTAACTAAGTAGAATACGATCACATTGCTGTTAGGAATAGTATTTCGATTTTATTTGTTGTAACACTAACTACCTTTTCTTCTGAGCCAAAAATCGCGATTCGCGACGAATGTCCCTGCAATTTACATCCATTGGGCATCACAGAACTCACATAGTAGCGAAAATATGGTCAGTCAATCAGAGTAGATACCATACCTACCATTTCGCAATGTATTTTTTTACTCTTTATTGACAGCCCTTAGTAACCACGGAAAGTCTGCCGTGACGTAGTAAGGAGAAAAGATGCAAAGTAATACGGATACTCGCGCGCAGCGATAGTTTTATTTAGCTTGCGTGCGCGATTTAACCTATTGCATGTGCGCTATTAAACCGTCGGCAAGCAGTCAACATCAAAGGAGTGCAACTTCTGTACGTAGTACTATTAATTATTCTGTGATTGTAACATACTGTCAATGTTACAAAAAATTCTCGCCAACTTTTCAAGGGTCATCGAGTAAAAATTCCCCAGAAATTTTTGCGTCTTTCCCTGAGTGTCATAATCAAAAAATAACGTGTAAATATAATCAAAATTTTGACTTTAACTTTGACTTTGAATGGCCCCGAAGAAAACTTAAGGGCAGTGAGCACTATGATCAAATATGCACAATCAAAACAAATATCAAAGATCATATAAATGTCGGTGTGTATAAAATGCCGGATGGATCGAGAGTGAGCGAGAGGTTGCGTCAATGCAGCGGAACGTCATATCGATTATGGCGGGTTAGAATTGATCGGGAAACCCCTCCCCCACTCGTTTGTGCAGTATAAAGTTCAGTGGAGGTGCCGAGCGCGGGAGATTCCGCTTAAGTCATTCTACGAGTGCTAAGATAGTGTCGTGGTTCTGTCCTTTGTGGTGGTTCTTCTGGTGCAGGCAAGGAGGATGGTGTTGGTGAGCGGCTGCCTCGTGTTACGTTGAGATGGGTGGTATTGCTGTTGGTTGCATACTTTGGTTTTTTCATGTAATTACGTCCCTCACGTCCCTCACGTTACACATTGTTATTGCTCTATACTGTACGTGAGTGAATAGCGTAACGCACTATGCGTTACGCTGTCTTTTTTACCAACTTCAAAAAGGAGGTGTATTGAATTCGACTGTATGTCTTTTTTTGTGTTGTTGTCATAACTTTTTTCCAGGTGAACGGATTTTGATGTTTCTTTTTTCATTTGAAAGCTGGTCCCCTATAAACTGATCAAGGCCTGACTAGTAGTTTTTGAGTTATACTTAATAATTTATATTGAAGTCAGTTGTACAAAATTTTTAACTTTACCACTTGTTACTAATAATGATTAATTGCGTAAGCAAGAGAACAAGTTCAACATCCGCTCTCACACTTATACTATTTTTAACTAGTGGGATGCGGGAAGTAAACACTGTGTAATTTTTTTGGTATTTGGTCATTTTGACCCCCTAGGAGTGTAATGAGAACTTTTTGCCCCTATTCAACCATGACCCCCATGACATCCTCTACATGATAGGTTATTCACACTGACTATGCCTAAAGTTCGAGCCACCCCCCCAATTTTTTGGTTTTTGGCCATTTTGATCCCCTAGGATTGTAATGAGAACTTTTTGCCCCTATTCAAACCATGACTCCCATGACATCCTCTACATGATATGCTATTCAAACTGAATATCATGTTGTATTTCCTATAACAAAATTGGCCTTATCCTTTTGTAATTACTACATAACAAATGATCTTTCGTTGTCACCACTAGTAGGACAGCAGTTGTCTAATGTGTGGACAGCATAAATTTACAATGAACACAAAGAAAATGTGGCAGCTTTATACAAGTGACCCTTCCACAAGCTTATATTAGTTACATTTTTAACATCGATGGTCATTGAACGTGCCTATTTCAATTTTCACAGGATCAGCTTCTGACCATACAGTTTGTTTTATTGTTGCACAGTATGTTTTTCTCTTCATTGATTCATTACATCCCATCAAAGTAGTCTGCTCAATGTACGGGGGATAGGATAGACTCATAGGAGAGATGCTTGGCAAGCTTGGTAAATACGGTAGTTGAGGTGAGTTGACAACAGCAGTTTTTAATTGTCTCGTTGTTTTAGTAAAACACTGCTGCCAATCTCCTAGAATATTTCCCCTTTTTATAGGATAAGGGTGACGAGCGAGCACACAGTCCACCTGATGGTAAGTGGCTGCTGACCCATAGACATCTACATCTATCCTCGATTTCGAATCAAAATGCAGATGCATTGTCAGCCGTGAGCACTAAGATGGAATGCCTCTTTTCGAGTAAAGAGGGTCTCCGGTTCTCTACACTCACTATACGAAACACAGTCGCCCCCTGTCACCTCTTATAACACCCACTGGACGATATTATGGGGTAGTGGATATTCTTACACTGCTACTACTCAATGCCCTCACACCGACGATTTTTTTACCTCCGGGACACCACCACTTTAGAATTAGGTGAAATATTTAACAGATTACATAACTGCAAAATTAATTTATTAGGAAAATGTAAGGGTTAGTGTTTCTTTCTGTAATTTTAGTTATATTTTATATTAATAATAATTAGATTAGAAACCCAAACTACGGATATTCCCAAAAGTAGAAAATTTAAAAAAGGAGTTTTTCTTTCTTTAACAAAAGAACTAAAGAGGGTAAAAATACTATTCTAATTTAATTAAAATACTCTAGAAATTGATAAATATTCTTTTAAAACTGATTTCTCAATTAACTGACATTATGTAAAAAAAACTTCAGCTCAGTCACAACTAACTAGCAGATCTGGTGGGTGGAAGATTTTACTGTGGCCACAGCAACTATTTACGGTCAGGTGAACTGTATGCTCGCTTGTCTCCCTTATCCTATGAAGAAAAAAAAACTCTCCCACTGGGTAAGGAGTTTTATTATATGAACTTTGATAGCGTGATTTAGGCTTCGGCGTTTTGCTTGTGGCGCGATGACAGCGCAGTCTAGTTGTCGACGAATGTGCAAGTGCTAGATATTGCGTTGTAGTCTGCGGTGAGTCGAGAAGAAGGTAGGTAATCTGCGAGAGTGCCGTGAAGCAGAGGCGAGCAGTAAGACTCAGAGCCGTGCCGAACACTGTAGTGCAGAGATCTTAAAGCTTAGGAAGCAGCTTAAAGGAATAAAAAGCATTATTTCAGTGCTGCAGTGAACCTTGTAAAGCTAGATGGTTCGCAGGATCTGAATATTTTATTTTATTATTTGTTTTTACTTTATTATTTTTACTGTGTTTGTTAAATTAATGTTTTGCTGTTTTAAGAATTAAATAGAATCCTATTTTATTCATATGGTTATTGTAATAAAATACGAATACAAATAAATAAAACCAAGTTGGGTAGCAAAGAACCTTTCACTACGGCGCTTTGTTTTAAAATGCCAAATTTTCCTTCGGGTGTACGCCGCACGCGGCGATCTTTGATATCGCGGCCACACCTTTGACAAAAATGTGGCACGTGCCAAGGCGGCGCAACACAAAGGCGAGCGTATCTAAACGAACAGACTATACTTGATATGACGAAAGCTTGAAAGTTGAGGTTTCCTAAGGTTGCAATGTTGCGTGTTTAAATCAGTGGAAAGAAAAGGGGAGATCTCCCGAGGGGTAAGGTGTTTAGCCGAACTTTGATAGCGTGATTTTGGGGTCGGTGTGTGTTCGCTTGTGGCGCGACGACAGCGCGGCCACAGGCAGGTGTTAGCTAATTATTTTGATTGTTAAGAATAGTTGTTACCGGTGTGCGAGAAGGGCGGGTCGCTGTAGGCGGGCTGCGAGTCGGGCGCGCCGGGGTAGGCGGGGAAGCCGGGCGGGCTGGGCGCCGCGCCCTCCACCTCGTAGGCGGGCGCGAACGCCGCGTCCGCGCCCAGCCGGAACCGCTGCAGCGCGAACAGCGCGCACGCGATCTGTCACACGTTATACTGCTTAAGGCATAGCTTCTCAACCTTATTTTGCCCACCGCCCACTTTGATAATATTATTTTGCTAGAGCGTCCCAATCTTTTTGAAGATTTTTCTAGTACCCCCCAATTTTTAACAATGTAGTGGAGAAATTTATTACGGTATTAAAAAAACACGTTTTCTTGTAATATGCATGACTGCATGAGTATACTATTATTTAGCCTATTCATGTAAAATATAAAATAAAAAAAAGAATGATACGTTGTAAAGAAGTTTCGCTACGTAGGTGTGTACGCACAATTTTTTAAATTTAACTTAACATCTGTCACGAATCTGAAATGTTTATTGCCACGATTATATTTCATCATCATAATCATCATCATTACAGTCCATCACAAATCCACTGCTGAACATAGGCCTCCCCCAAGGAATGATACAAAGCACAGTCACGAGCCACCTGCATCCATTGACTTCCTGCATGTCTTACCAGGTCGTCACTCCATCTAGTGGGAGGACGATTTATACGATTATAATTAAACGTATAGTATTATAAAGACGTAAAATAGGATGATCCCTATCGTATTTTTGAGTATAAAGAAAATTCTTTTCAATGAGAACAATAAAAACGCATACTTAATTGTATTGTAAAGTATTTTTATTAACATTCAAATTACATTTAATTAACAACTTATCTAATGAGAAGTTTGAATTTCTGACTCGATTTTACTCGAAAACCTGGGTAAGCCGCCGCGTTCATTAACATGAATCCGAATTCTCTTTTTAGTGACCAACTTTGTAGCAAAATAATAAATCCCCGTTCAGCTAAATAGGACTATAAGAATACTATCGGAAATCGTTGAACAATCGACCATAATCCTGGGTACAGTTGCGAAATAGGCTTCTGTAGTCAAATATCTTGGTAGCCATTCTTAAATTTGATTTTTAATTCCTCATTTGTCGTCAGTTCTATTGATTGTTCTTCTAACTGGGATGATCCTGCTGTTTTGTCATTTGAAGAAGAATTCTAAAGTCAGTCTGGTATGTCCATGTTTAAAATATCCTGGAAGCGTTCCTTGTTTCAGTATTGACATACCATGTAAACAAGCAAGGCGTTGTTCTAGAATGAATTGATAAATTTGGGAAGTTATTAAATTCCCATCTGCTGATATTTCTTTTGTATTATACAACAGTTTGGATACAAAAGCAGCAACGTTATTTTTTGTCTTAATCAAGTTTAAGTCGTCGTCTTGAAATTTTACACACGTAATAAAAATGATCACAATACATGTGTAATATCAAAAATTAACTGATATTAAAGTTTACTCTAGTACGTGATTAGCGTGTTTTTGTTTTGTCTTTTTTAGACTACATTGTTTTAACCTGCCCACGTCACCTCTGTACTATCTCAACGCTCCCTAATTTTCTCAGGGGCTTCTGATATTTTTATATATGTATATTTTTATGCAGCCCAACTAGATGAGAAAACTACATTAATATCCCATTTAACAACCATAAACATAACAGGAATGCTATACACATTGAATAAAACTAATTTTACTGAATTTATTGTGTTTTAATTTGACATATTTGTGGAGTTAACCCGGGTTGAATATTAATTTATGGTCCGATCACTAACGTGGAGCACAGACGTTCCAAGAAGTCTGCAGTTTGCGAACAAGTTTAAGATCGTCCCGCCATTACATCTAATTTGATAAACACAAAAGAACACCGATTTCTACCAAAAATTATTCGCAAGGCTAATGAAATTAAAAAAATATATATCCAAATTTTAATAGAGAGGGTGGGTATTTACATGGGATCCTATAATTAATAAAATTAAATTCAAACCTAAGCATACCAATGCAAAACTATTTTTTCGCATTTAATATAAATAAAAATGCGATAAGATATAAATCGAATGGAGGTTTAATGGAGCAATACCAAGAAGTTCAAATAAAATTATAACCGGTAACAAAATTATAAATAAAATTTTCTTACACTTGAGATGCAACGGTAGATGATAATAAAGCTATAGAGCAACGTTTCTCCACTTATACTTTTGACGTTACTCTCCGTCTACGGCCTTGCTTTTTTACGCCTATTCTAAACACCCATAGTCGCTATTACGGTACCCACGTGAACACCCACGGAATAACATCGGGTGATGTGGATTCTCTTAAGGCGTAACCATGTGATTTTATTCCACATTTGGTTATCTGTCGCGTGACTCAAATTTGGGTAACAACCAGAGTTTGAAAACCAATGTTGACAGAATTCACAAAAACACGACACATTTGGATTTATTATACACTCCACTTTCCTTGCGATATTTCTTATTGCCTCCATTGCTTTGAGAGGCAATATTACTATAAGCACGTGGTAACTCGAAAATTGAAATATTAAGAAACATAACCAGAAATTGTGTGAGTGCCGTGTAGTGGCGGTTAAAAATATCCACTACCCCATATCTTCCCGTGGGTATCGTAAGAAGCGACAGTGGGAAACAGGCAGGAGATGGGCAGCAGCACCTTCCTGATAACAGCAATATTACAATAAAAAAGCGGTTGTCAACCCGCTCGCCAAGCGTGGCAACTATAGCAAATATCCCCCCATGATGAGAGATACGAAGAGACGGCCCCCAGTCCCCAGCGGCCGCGCTATTCCTGGCTACGGTGGTGACCATGGTAACGGCGGGGCAGGGGGTGCTAAGAATCTCCGGTGGAGGTTTGGTTGCCACCTAAAACAACTCAGCCTGGTAACATACAACGCACGCACCCTGAGGACTGACGAGAAGATCCTGGAGTTAGTAGAAGAGATAGACAAGTTACGCTGGCATATTATAGGAGTATCCGAGGTCAGAAGAGAGGGGGAGGACACGGTAATCGTCGAATCCCGCAACTTATTCTATTACCGGGAGGGCGACCATCTGTCCCAAGGAGGTGTCGGATTTATCGTCCACAAGTCTCTCGTTAATGTAAAGATTGTGAGTGTGTCGACGAGGGTTGCGTACCTTATACTTCAGAATCACCAAACGGTTTTCGCTGAAGGTCATACAGGTTTACGCACCAACCTGGGCAAATCCAGATGAGGAGGTGGAGGAAATGTATATCTCTAAAGCCATGCATTCCCCAAAAACCCACTATACGGTGTTAATGGTTGAAGGTAGGGAATTTGGAATAGGGCAATGGAACCCAAGGGGCCAGCAGCTGGCCGACTTCATGGAGAAAGAGGGACTCTTTATGATGAACTCCTTCTTCCAGAAGCGGCACCACAGGAAGTGGAACTGGTCAAGCCACGACGGTTCGACAAAAATGAGATTGACTTCATTATGACGACCAGATGACAACTGTTCAGTGATGTCTCAGTGATCGCGAGGGTGAAAACTAGTAGCGATCACCGAATGGCTAGAGGCATACTGAACCTAAACGTTAAGTTGGAGAGGTCTCGTCTAATGAAGTCAACGCTCTGTCCCCCTCGTGCTCTATTCCAAAGTCCCGAAACCTTTCAGCTCGAGTTACAAAACCGTTTTCAGTGCCTAGAAGATTGCAATGAAGTGGACGATATGAATAATAAGCTCGTGAAAACTGTCCATGTGGTCGGAGCTAAGTTCTGCAAGACCCGCCGCAGAAGTACACAAAAACTCTCCGATCACTCCCTTAATCTCATGGCTGTTAGACGAGAAACGAAGCTGCAGTCTTCAACAGACTTAACAGCATACAGGCAACTGAACTTACGCAACTTCAATAGAACTTGTATTGAAGAAGCGATCGAGCGGAACCAAGGCTCCAAAGTCTTTGCGAGAGATCCGTCTGCCAGAAAAAGCCAACTGTCAAATCTGAAGACCAAGTGTGGCAGCATCGTTTCCGGGACACCTGAGATTTTGAGTGAGATTGAGAAAATCTATGGGAAGCTGTACACGTCATTGTTGGAGCCACACGCAAGTGTGAGTAACGATCCAACAGCTCTTATCCGACACTATTCCGATGATATCCCGGACGTCAGTCTGAGCGAGATTAGAATGGCTCTCCAGCACCTTAAAAACGGCAAGGCCCCAGGTGAGGATGGAATTACAGCGGAGCTTCTGAAAGCGGGTGGAAAACCGGTACTTGAAGTCCTTCAGAAGATCTTTAATTCCATCCTCCATGCACTACTCCGGAGGCGTGGAGCAGAAGTGCGGTGGTCTTGTTCTTTAAGAAAGGCGACAACACTCTCTTGAAGAACTACAGACCGATTTCCTTTCTGAGCCGCGTCTACGTGCTCTTTTCGAGAGTCATTACGAATCGTCTCGCACGCTGACTCGACGACTTCCAGCCTCCCAAACAAGCCGGTTTCCGAAGAGGCATTAAGTACCATAGACCACATACATACCCTTCGGAAAATTTTACAGAAGACAGAAGAGTACAATCTGCCACATTGCATTGCGTATGTGGATTATGAGAAAGCCTTTGATTCCGTCGAAATTGGGACGGTGCTACAGTCTCTTCAGTGGTGTCAAGTTGACTGTCGATATATCAAAGTGTTGAAGTGTTTATACAGTAGGGCTACGAAGACTATCCGAGTACAGAATCAGAGTACGAAACCTATCCAACTGCAGAGAGGTGTAAGACTGACAGGGTGACGTTATATCCCCGAAACTCTTTACCGCTGCATTGGAAGAAGTTTTCAAGCTACTGGACTGACGGATTCAACTCGGCTGGGCAGCGGACGGGAAATTACGACACGTTTTTTCTTCAGGTATACCTCAAACCTAGAAAACGAGATTGTACAACCAGTGCATGTTGCCCGTGATGATCTATGGAACTGAGACGTCCTTCAGTGCTGGCCATATGAGGACGCTCAGCTAGCTATGGAGAGGGCTATGCCCGGGGTTTTTCTGCGTGATAAACTTAGAAATGAGGATATTCGCAGTAGAACCAGAGTGACCGACATAGCCCAACGGATTAGTAAGCTGAAGTGGCAATGGGTCGGCCATATAGCTCTAAGAACCGACAAAAGATGGGGAAAAAAGGTTTTCGAGAAAGAGTAACGACCTGGAAGACATGCAGGAAGTCGATGGATGCAGGTGGCTCTAGACTGTGCTTTGTAGTATTCCTTGGGTGAGGCCTATGTTCAGCAGTGGACTTGTGAAGTTCTGTGATGATGATGACGAACTAGAAATTGGGATTGCGTAGAAATGTACTTACCCAGGCGAATATGGAGAAGAAACAGAAAGCTATAGCGCCTTGCATATTGTTAGCGGTACCCACTGGTGGGTTGTCGGTCTTGCCCCATGCATTCGAAAGGTAGCAGAATCCTACGAAGTACAGGAATCCCCAGAAAGCTGAAATATTAAGGAGATAATTGAGTTCATTAAAAGCTTTTATTTTTTTTTATATAAGTGTAACGAACAAGCACACAGTCTACCCAACGCCCCAGAAAGCTGAAATATTAAGGAGATAATAAAGTTAATTAAAAACTTTTATTTAATTATTATATAAGTTTATTTTATGATATTTTTTATATAAGGTTGACAAACAAGCACAGTCTAATTGCTCTATAGCTCTCTTAGAAATGTGAGGAGGCCTGGACCCAGCGGGAAGTATGTGTCGCAGTCAACTAGCTTAATTAGACTTTCAGTTAATAGACTAGGGTTTTTACTAAACGTCGCCGTTCAACTCGCGGCCTGAATTGACATTGCACTTATCTTAAAATATCAGCGACAGTAGATTGAGGTGCGGCTGGGGTGACCCGTAGGCCACTCTAAAGCCGCGTGCATTTGTGTCATATAACACATAGTGCATAATTAGGCACCGGTCAGCGATATTACATGGCATGGTCACCTTATTCATTTCATTCAACGAGATGGTCGCTGGTCTTTGAGTTAAACAGTAACATTTAGTAAAATGACTAGGCTGTTAACTATAGGCCTAATTAAGCTAGTTGAATGCGACATATATATGATGTAAAATTACTTTTACTTTTTATGAATCTATTACAGCATGACCATAAAGATAGAAAACCTAACAAAATGCTAACTGATTAACACGCTTGGCATTTGTAGAGATCTCATAAAAAATTTATTAGATTCTGTACATGGCATACTATGATACGCACAGTGGGTCTCTTTGTTCACAATCATTATTAAAAAGGTTAATGGGTCACAGTATCCACAAAGGTACAAAGATTATAATCATTGATATTGTCTATTTATAGAAACTTGCACAATGTGTGTAGTGGAATTGAGCAAGCGGTTCATATGCCAGTGCTTTTGCCAAAAGACAATTTTATTACCTTGCACCATTATTTAACATTAAATTTAATAAAATTGTTGTTTTATTTTATTCAACAAAAGCTTGTCAAATATAGGAAGGACCTAGCTTCTGTTTCTCAGGTTAACCTATTACAGAAGATAGGGTCACATTGATATGTATAATTGTAGTGATTGTATAAATAAAGTCTTTTCAATTTTGAATTTTTTTTTTTTAATTTTAATACAACTCCCGGTCTATAAAATCTATTGTGCAGGTTTTATTTATGTTACTTCTTCTTTATCAGTGCTTGGAAATGGACTCTTCTTGTGGAGTGAGTTTTGCCACACTTTGCAGGTGAATTAATGATTGAAGCGTAAAAGTCTCATATTCCAATGTGAAATAAAATGTGTACATAATTTGTTTTGGAGTTGTTCTTTAAATAATAATTAAGGGTGACAAATTTAAATAAATTATATTTAACTTAACTGATTCAAGTAATTAGGAATTGTTATTTCAATCTGCTTGCAAATAAAAAATATGTTTTATTAATGTTAAGGTATTAAGTTATCAGAATACCAACATCTCAAAATATAAATGATGTCAGTGCTGTAATGTTATTATATATGTACAATGCATGGCAATATCACAGATGTTAATCAAGAAAATTTTATAAGCAAACTAGTTAGATAGATAAAGATGACAATTTTACTTAAAATTATAATTACAAAAGACCTACCTGAGAAACCCATATCAGCAAGCACATAATGCTTTCTTGTTTTCACAGACGACATCTGCTCAAATAGATATTCTCCAATTATGAAGGCAATTGATGCCACAAAAGCAATCACCGAGATCCCCACACCATAGTTGCATGCATTAGTATCATTATTGTAGACACAGTATTCTTTGCCATCTTCCTTGTTGGTGTACCACCCTTTAGCCGATATGCAACCCATCACAATTACACTGAAGAGCTGAAGAATTCAATATCTTAATATTATCCCAATACCTGTTTTATTTTACTGTTTTAAAAACATATAATACCTAACTTATAAAGAAGCATTTTTTGTGCAATTTGAGCTGTGTAATGGCGGAGTAAGAGTATCCACTACCCCTTACTATCTGGGAAGTGTCTTTGGAGGTGACAGACAACAAAAAACCAAAAATAAATAAAAAAGAAACTATGGTTGCCCACCTACATGGGGGAGGCCTATTTAAAGCAGTGGGCTTTTAATAGGCTGCAATAAATTAATGAATGCAATTATATTTCATTCTGTTAATGATTGTGTAACCTCTGAATGATTTTCACTAATTAAGGTACACACTATATATTTTTTGTGAAGTTTGTTTGTAGCTATGGTAGGACCTGATAGGTGGTGCTGTGGTTGAGTTATTAATTAGACTTTATATAAAACGTTTGGGAGTGAAATCAAAATGAAAATCAGCACACCTCCTACCGGATAAGGCAGAACTTCTATTGGACCAGTTAGTATGTAAGTATGTATAACTTAAGAGATGATAATTTTATGTCATATTAGTAAAAGTACATCTCTAGAATAAAGGAGTTTTTTTTTTATTTAAGTAAATTCCACTACTCATTGGCCACTTAACAGCCACCAGTTTACTGTCTACTAATAATTCACAATCACTGCCACCACCCTACCATCTTAAAGTTCATATTGTATTGACAATGTGTTTTCTACTTGTTGATGAATTATGGGTGAAGAGTATAATAAGGACAATGTTTGAAACTTAGGGTGTGTTGAGTCATAATCTACTAAAATGTAATAACTTCATAATTCTACATAAAGTACACAGAGTAAAAACAAGGTCAATCAAGACAGTTTTAAGTTTAATCAAAATGGAGTTAGTACTACCTACTAGTTTACACATTTTACAGAAATACAAAATGATTTTACTAACTTGCTATTATATATAATATAATATACAAAAAACATTCTACATCAAATCACAGAGATTCAAGATATGTATATATTTAAATGAACACATATAAATTTACCTGAACATACTCTAAATATTTATACTAAAATACTTATTACCTATTTCCCAAATTAAAATGAAAGAAAATTATTTTACATTTAGGTATAATACATATTATGTAAAGTGTGGCAGGAATACTTTTGTTCAAGTAATTCAAGGTTAATCATATGATCACTATGCATTTTCTTCTACTTTGGAATGAACATAATACGTATTATCCCAATATGCAAATGATAATAATTAATAAAGATATTGTGTGTTAGCTATACAAGCTCTTGCTTTACTATATATCTTACGAAAAAAGTTAGACGTATCGCCAAATAATAAACAGATGTGTATAGTTAACGTAACAAAATATCTACAAGGGAACCTTACCCAGCAAACAGCCCTGACGATTACTGGAGGTTTTTGGATGAAGGCTTGAGGGTCAAAAGCTCCTCCGGCTTTTCCACCGCCATAAGCACCAGTAGTTTCCATTTTTACACTTTTGAAATTTCTTTTAGTAGCTACACTGCCAAGCCTTGCCCATCAATAACTATCTGACCTCCGCAAACTCCGAATCTACCCAATATAAATTATCGATCGCGCAACTCGACTTAGAAATTCGCCTCCAATGACATGTTACACAGATCAGAAAAATATTTAAATGTCAGTGTCACAGATAATCATAGATGGAACAAAGTAGTAAATTCATTAAATGTATTTAAACTATCCTTTATTTGCAAAAAATAATAACAAATATAATTACATATATATTTTGGATTTTGTCTGGGTCGATCAGCTGGTGATCTTCTGGTCTACCTGACTTCATAGATGGGCGGAGGAAGTAGAGTCCAAGGGGGAGGCATTGGCCGTTAGTTTGGATATAGCGAAGGGCTTCGATTGGGTCTGGAACAAAGCGCTTCTTTCGAAGCTCCCTTCCTATGGACTTTCCAAGAAATTGTGCAATTGGATCATCAGTTTCCTTGCTGATCTGAGAATTAAGGTCATTGTAGACGGTGCATGCTCTGATTACAAGCTTATTAACGCAGGGCTTCCACAAGGCTGCATGCTATGACCAACGCTGTTTCTTCTGCATATCAATGATATGTTGCAAGCTGGTAACATTCATTGCTATGCAGACGACAGCACTGGTGATGCCTTAAAAACCGGCCGTGATTATATTTCTCGGGAAAACGTCATCGAGTACCGGGACAAACTTGTGTCTGAAATCGAGTCTTTGCTGAACAAAGTCTAGGATTGGGGACGACTAAATCTAGTCCAGTTCAATCCCCAGAAGACAAATTTGCGCGTTTACCGCTAAAAAGAACCCCTTTGCCGTATCTCCTCAGTTTCAAGGCTTTCTCCTTGCTGCCTCATCCAGCATCGGAATCTTCGGCGTCGACACATCGAATAGTGTGCAGTTTCGTGGTCACTTGGAACGGGAGGCCAATTGGCCTCTAAAAAGCTTGGCGTGCTCAGCAAAGCCAGACAGTATTTCACCACGGCACATTGATTGCAACTTTACAAAGCGCAAGTTCGGCCTGGCTCCTTTCATTTGACCGAATCTAGCGCAGAGCGGTTCGAATCGTTGACGAACGAGTTCTTTTTGATCAGCTCGATTCACCAGCGCTGCGTAGGGATGTTGCATCTCTTTGCATTTTCTATCGCATCTACCACGGGAAGTGCTCTGAAGAATTGTTCGGATAAAATTCACGATACCTGTGCCTTTTACTAGGAGGTTTCTTTCTCATACAACTTCTCTGTGGCAATTTTTCCGGACCGATATGACTTAGGGACCTTCAAGAAAAGAGCTTACTCCTTTCTAAAAGGCCGGCAAAGCACCCTCAATTCTTCACTTGTCATCAGGTGAGCCATGCTCGTTTGCCCCCTCTTCTATAAAAAAGAAACATTATTTACAAAAATATATATAATACTGAGATATAATAATAATTTATTCAAAATTCAACCCATTTTTATAGGGTTAAATGGTATACCACTTGATCCTATAAAAGTGGGAATGAGAAAACTTAGAAGTTTTTAGTAGAAATAAACTGCTTTAGTAAATTAACACATGTAATTAAATAATATTAAACTATTAAAAAAGGTTACATAAGCGCTAAAATTATTATGCTCTCATATCAAAGTGTTCTGCGCTCATATCTGTCTGGTGCTATAGGAGTTTGAAAGTTTTATTTAAAGAAATGTTTGTTTTTGTTGGTTATCGTAGTGGAGTAATCCCCTGCAATTCTACGAAGCATTTTTGTTTAGCCGTTCACTTAACTTATTGTCTCCAGCTTCAGCCGCTCCGGTTCAATGAACCAAGCTCGCTCAATTAACAATTATGATGGGTATATGGGTCTGTCAAAAAATTATCACAAACTTTTCCAATTAAATTATTATTTACGCCACAAGTCTGATTTTTTATTATATTCCAGGAAGCACGACACCTATTTTTTTGATTGCTCAATATATTTTTGCGCTTGACTTCTTAGTGTAACGGAATAAATCCTATACCTTAATTTTATTCTAGTTCGATTTTAAAACCTAAGTTTCCTTGCCGTTGTATAGCTTTTTCTCAGACCTTTTGATATCCATTTAGGTCGCCGAACTCTATTATTAATACATATCCTAATTTTAGAAAAGCATAATAAAATAGCATAAAAGTATCAAAGAATTTTTGGAAAGCTTTATCCAAATTTGATTCATTGAAAACTTCAGAAAACTTTAATCTCGATATACATACAGTATTTAAATTAAATTTATTAACATTTTCTTTGCAATAGTTTCGTTTTATAATGTAATATAATATTTTTTTTATAGGATAGGGTGACAAATGAGCACACAGTCCACCTGATGGTAAGTGGTTGCTGTGGACCATAGACATCTAGATTTATCCTCGTTTGCGAATCAAAATATAGATGCGTTGGCACCCGTGAGGACTAAGATGGAATGGCTCTTTTCCAGTAAAACGGGTCTCCGGTTCACTACACTCACCATATGAAACATTTTACGCTGGTATTCTGTGAGAGTGTGGTCCTTCCCCGGTCGAGCCGACCCATTCGTGCTACAACCATACTACTAATATATCTGCAGCATGGCTCTACCACGTAAAATATATCTCTCACTCATATCTTTATTTAGACTAGGCTAATGTGTCGTTATATCGTCTCGTGGGTGTCGCAAGAGGCGACAGAGGAAAACAAACCACGAAATGGTCAGACAAAATAAAAAACTGCGGTTGCCATTCCGCCTGCCAGGCGTAGCAACTGTGGCACATATCCCTTGCATGCCTTTGGCATTATTAAAAGTACTTTGTTCCAAAGACCTATAAAAAATGGATGACATCGTCATTGCGTATGTGTTTTTTTAAGAGTAATTTAGGTATGATTGTAGCTGCTTCTTTTTAATATTCCGTGTCGAAGTTGTCTGTTTATTTTTCTTTTATTGAGTATGTTCGTTTATCGGGTTTCTAATAACGGCGGTATTACTGCGCAGTTTCTCTCCAACGCTGTTCATCCGAGTTAAACCCGTCAAAGTTTGGACCTACGTCGAATTATTATTATTGCTCCCAATCGGCATAGCTGCGACATGGACGCTGCAAATAACCCTTGTTTTGTCCATGTTCCATGTGTATTCATTGAGATACACTATTGAGGTCACTGAGCATAGTGCTAATGCTTGGATACTGTGAAAAATAGGCATCTACACCTATCGTCGATTAAGAATTAAAATGCAGGCCCGTCGTTGTCACCCCTGAGGACTAAGATAGAAATTCTCGTTATCAGTAAAAGAGTCTCACTTACCATACGAAACATAGCAGCATTAATCTGCTGTTTCACAGTGGCATTGGGTGAGGATGAGTTTTGTGTGCGTGTCCTACTGCTGTCGAACCGATCAATATCCTTTATTATAACTTTTTTAACGTATCTAGGTTTTGATTGTTTCTTTTCTTACTTTAATTTATATATTATTTATATGTTTTATTTATAAATTTTGTACTTAATAGTTTGTACAACCATTAATGTAAAATATGCTTTTTAAAAAAAGTCCCGCTGGGTTTCTTGCTGGTTCTTCCCAGGATAGAGGTTTTTTTTGGAACCAGTGGTAAAGTAAAAAATGACTTTCAATAAGAATTACACATGTGATCTATATTGAATAAAAAATTATTCTATTTATCACATACATACTTTCAGTATATTACAGGTTATCTATGATACACACACAAAGATCTGCAGAAAAAAATGTCACTTAAATATAAGGTACTAGGTATGTTCCGATATACACAGCGAGCACTGCTCAGTGCTCTCTCTGGTGAAAAATTCGTTCCGTTATGGACTGCCAGTATACTGCCGCCATAGAACTTCTTTTATTATATCTAAGATTGCCGCAGGGAAATATATGACTTCATAAATCGCCGCCAATTTTGTACTGTGAGCACTGACGCTTTCGAGGTAAGGTGCTCTCAGTACTTTGACGTGATTAAAAAACAACAGCGCCTAGAGATTTAACAGCTTCCACAAATAACTGTTATTATTATTATTAATTAATATTGTTATTGAAATAAACTCGAACATTAAGTTTTGAAAGCAACAATATTCAAATAATATTTTTCTTGTTGAACAAAAAACAAGTACTTACATGATAGTACTTACATATAATTTTCATTTGAAAACAGTGTCGGAAAATAGGGATGACAGTATACTGGACTGCGTTCCGTTTTAAACAGTAACCAGTATAACAAACTCAAAAGGAGCGGCTTCACAGTTTACTAAATTGACGTCACACCTTACAGTGGTCACAGTGTATATCGGAACCACAGATCATATATATGATTTGTGATCGGAACGTAGCCTATATAAAACAAAAGGAAAAAATAACAAGGGCTGAATAAATAAGCCAATGAAATATTACAAATATTTTATTCAAATAAGAACTGAACTAAAATAAGACAATGTTAAGCAGCCATTAACATATTGCCGCAAAATAATATAGTAAATCACGTTCCCCCTTTGCCGCCACTCAAAGAAAAATTTTGACTAGTTCAGAACCAAATTAATCATTCTTGAAAAGACCCCACTAATGCGACGTTGTAAAATATACAGTTGGCTTTACGAATTTCATATTTAGCACCTTCATATTCTAGCAATATTAACATAACAAAATATTTATAAGAAGTTAGAGTGACGGCGCAATTATCTCTTTTTAAATAATACATAGGTAGTTATACAAAATGTCTAAATACGAGTTGTTAGGTATCAAAGAAGACTGTATAGAAACACAGATCTCTATTACAGGTATTTACAATATGAAGCATAAAACATTTCATTGTACACTACGTTAAATAAATGTCGTAATCAATATGTAGGTACATCCCACGTTAATGTCGAATGAACATTATGGAAATATTTGTATTGGATTGTTATTGTACTTTCGTAATGCGGCGATGTAAATTGATCGGTAACAATCAAAATGAAAACTATTCAACTTTACAAATA